TCTATCTATCTATCTATCTATCTATCTATCTATCTATCTATCTATCTTCTATGAGAGAGACTAATTAATAGTAAAAAGAACAAAACAAACTAAAACCTATCTTCTACCACTTCAACCTGCCCCTCTGTTGCCCTTGAGACAACTTTTAACATGTTTTGTTTCCTGTTGATCATTGGGAACAACATGGCAACATGCTTTAGTGAGATTGTGTGTGTGCGCGTACACATGCGCAGTGTGTGTGAGACACATCAAAACCTGCCCTGCAGGAGATTTTAATAAGCATTTTTAAAGAAGAAAGGAAAGGAATTAGGAGACAGTGGGTGTGTCCAAACTCAAATATAGGAAATACTGAGCTTAAAAAATATAAATATGCACTGTGATTACTCAAATGCCCTAAAATTAGCTAACAAACTCCTTAGTTGTGGAATACCAAGTAATATCTTAAGAGATTCCAGATCACTACAAAACAGTGTGGGAAGTTAGATATTTCTTACTGGTAGCAACACATGGAGTTGGATAATGGCATATCCAGAAGCAGGCACAGGCCATGTGACCTGGCCCCTGGCAGCAGACCTAGAAACCAAAGCTGCAGATGGCCGAGTGAATCTTCAATGCTGAGAACCCAGTGTGGTTTTTGTGCTGTTTTTCCTGCGCGACCATGTAACAAAAACATCCATCTGCAAAGTCTGACACTAAACTTAAATGTATGTTTGTTTGTTTTTTTTTTTTTTCAAGTAAATAAAACCAAGGGTCTCAAGAGAAAAATTAAATTTGTTTTACAAAAAACAAAAAGTAGGGCTAAATATTTTGTGAGGCTAATACAATAATTGCTTTATTATAAAAGAAGCTTTTAGAAGTGAATAAAATTCCTAGGGAATTTATAATTTTATTTATAATAACTACAGCTCTCTATACATGCACAAATAGTAAATTTGGAAATACTTCTTTTTCTCTCTAAATTCAAATCAAGACTTCAGTGGGCTGTGTGCAGTTGATCTTGCCAG